TATATATATGTATATGTATATATGTATATGTATATGTATATATGTATATGTATATATATATATGTATATGTATATATATATATGTATATGTATATATGTATATATATGTATATTTATATGTATATATATATGTATATGTATATGTATATGTATATATATATGTGTGTGTGTGTGTGTGTATATTAGTAATAAACACTCACCAGCCACTTTATTAGGCACACCTGTTCAATTGCTTGTTAACACAAATAGCTAATCAGCCAATCACACAGCAGCAGCTCAATGCATTTAGGCCTCTAGACGTGATGAAGACGACTTGCTGAAGTTCAAAGGGAGCATCAGAATGAGGAAGAAAGAGGATTTAAGTGACTTTGAATGTGACACGGTTGTTGGTGCCAGACGGGCTGGTCTGAGTATTTCAAACTGCTGATCTACTGGGACTTTCATGCACAATCATCTCTAGGGTTTACAGAGAACGGTCCTAAAGAGAAGATATCCAGTGAGCGGCAGGTGTGTGGACCAAGATGCCTCGTTGGTGTCAGAGGTCAGAGGAGAATGGGCAGAGTGGTTGGAGATGATAGAAAAGCAACAGTAACTCAAATAACCACTCGTTACAACCAAGGTCTGCAGAAGACATCTCTGAACGCACAACACGTGGAACCTTGAAGCAGCCGGGCTACAGCAGCTGAAGACCACACCGGAGCCCACTCCTGTCAGCTAACAACAGGAAGCTGAGGCTACAGGCTCACAGGTTCACCAACATGTGACAACAGAAGATTGGAAAATGTTGCCTGGTCTGATGAGTCTCCATTTCAGCTGCCACATTCAGATGGTGGGGTCAGAATTTGGCGTAAACAACATGAAAGCATGGATCCATCTTGCCTTGTATCAACGGTTCAGGCTGCTGGTGTAATGGTGGGGGGGGATATTTTCTTGGCACACTTTGGGCCTCTTGGTACCAACTGAGCATGGTTTAAACGCCACGGCCTACCTGAGTATTGTTGCTGACCATGTCCATCCCTTTATGACCACAGTGGACCATCTTCTGATGCTACCTCCAGCAGGATAATGCACCATGTCACAAAGCGCAAAGCATCTCAAACTGGTTCCTTGAACATGACGATGAGTTCACTGTACTCCAACGGCCTCCACAGCCACCACATCTCAATGCAATAGAGCAGCTTTGGGATGTGGTGGAACAGGAGATTCTCATCATGGATGTGATGCTATCGTATCAATATGGACCAAAATCTGTGAGGAATGTTTCCAACACCTTGTTGAATCTATGCTACGAAGAATTAAGGCAGTTCTGAAGGCAAAAGAGGGTCCAACCCGGTACTAGCAAGGTGAGTGTATATAGTAATATAAAAAGTCATAAATAGTATGTCAAAAAAAAGTCATAGTACAGTATGTCTTGGAGGTTTAGCCTTATTGTCGTCATGATCTGATCTAATCTTAATCCTGCCTAGCAACTGGCTATGAGGAGCTGTGATTGGTCCATTAAGAAGCTTCAGGATATCTATTTTTCTACATAAAATACAACGTAACTTCATGGAGCGTTTAATGTCGTCTGTAATTCATTCATTCTTAACTTTCTTTTCTGTAACAGATATAACTATCTATATATATTTATCTATATATATTTATATATAGATAATTTTCTCTGTAACAGAAAATTACAAAAACAGATATACAGACGCATGCACAACACGACTGCATGTCGGTCGTCCATCTTTATTTCAGGCTTCCTCTTCAAGACGTGTTCATCAGTAGGACGAACATAATGACTGTGATCCTGCTGCTATATGAACAAACTGTTGGGTCAGAAAGATGTTAATGATTTCAGTGAACCTCTCCTTTACAGGACGAGCCCCCCCCGGTGTCTCCCTGCGTCATGGTCGCTGACCTTGGCCCTCAGCTGACATCAGCAGAGTAAATCTGTTCCTCTGATCTCATTAAATCTGTTTATCAGCTCATCTGCTGTTAACCACCTGCACACACTGTAAAACACTATAAGATAATGTAAAACACTACAAGATAATGTAAAACACTAAGATAATGTAAAACACTACAAGATAATGTAAGACACTATAAGGTAATGTAAAACACTACAAGATAATGTAAAACACTACGAGATAATGTAAAACACTACAAGATAATGTAAAACACTATAAGGTAATGTAAAACACTGTAAGATAATGTAAAACACTAAGATAATGTAAAACACTACAAGATAATGTAAAACACTAAGATAATGTAAAACACTACAAGATAATGTAAAACACTAAGATAATGTAAAACACTACAAGATAATGTAAAACACTGTAAGATAATGTAAAACACTACAAGATAATGTAAAACACTAAGATAATTTAAAACACTATAAGGTAATGTAAAACACTGTAAGATAATGTAAAACACTACAAGATAATGTAAAACACTGTAAGTTAATGTAAAACACTGTAAGGTAATGTAAAACACTATAACCCCCGCAAAGCAGCCGGCCCGGACTCTATCTCCCCCTCCACCCTGAAGCATTGTGCTGATCAGCTGTCTCCGGTGTTCACAGACATCTTCAACACCTCCCTGGAGGCATGCCACGTACCAGCCTGCTTCAAGGCTTCCACCATTATCCCCGTCCCCAAAAAACCAAGGATCACAGGACTTAATGACTACAGGCCCGTCGCCCTGACCTCTGTGGTCATGAAGTCTTTTGAGCGCCTTGTCCTGTCCCACCTTAAAACCCTCACTGACCCACTCCTGGACCCCCTGCAGTTCCCCTACAGAGCCAACAGGTCTGTAGACGATGCAGTCAACTTGGCCCTTCATTTCATCCTCCAGCATCTGGACTCCCCAGGAACCTACGCCAGGATCCTGTTTGTGGACTTCAGCTCTGAGCTCTGCTTTCAACACCATCATCCCGTCTCTGCTGCATGACAAGCTCTCCCAGCTGCACGTGCCCAACTCCACCTGCAAGTGAATAACAGACTTCCTGTCTGACAGGAAGCAGCGCGTCAAGCTGGGAAAGCATGTCTCAGCCTCCCGGACCATCAGCACCGGCTCCCCCCAAGGCTGCGTTCTTTCCCCTCTGCTCTTCTCCCTGTACACCAACAGGTGCACCTCCAGTCACCAGTGCGGATGACACCACCCTCATTGGACTCATCTCTGGTGGAGACAATATAAGACACTGTAAGACACTGTAAGACAATGTAAGACAATGTTAGACAATGTTAGACACTGTAAGATAATGTAAGATAATGTAAAATACGACAAGATATTGTAAAACACTGTAAAATACTACGAGACATTGTCAATCACTGTAATTTACTGCAATACACTGTAAAATATTGTCAAACACTGTAGGAAACAATAAAAATAATACAAGACATTGTCAAACACTGTAAAATACTACAATACATTGTCACTGTAGGAAACAATACAATAATACAAGACATTGTTAAACACTGTAAAATACTGCAATATATTCTCAAACACTGTACGATAATGTAAAACACTATAAGATCATGTAAGACACTATACGATAATGTAAAACACTGTAATAGACTCCAAGACATTGTCAAACACTGTAAGACAATGTTAGACAATGTTAAACACTAAAACACTGTAAAATACTACAAGACAATGTCAAACACTGTAAGACAATGTTAGACAATGTTAAACACTAAAACACTGTAAAATACTACAAGACAATGTCAAACACTGTAAGACAATGTTAGACAATGTTAAACACTAAGACACTGTAAGACAATGTTAGACACTGTAAGACAATGTTAAACACTAAGACACTGTAAAATACTACAAGACAATGTCAAACACAAACATTGTCTTACAGTTAAACACTAAGACACTGTAAAATACGACGAGATATTGTCAAACACTGAAATACCACAATACATTGTCACTGTAGGAAACAATAAAATAATACAATTGTCAAACACTGCAAAACACTAAAATACTACAAGACATTGTCACACTAAAATACTGCAAAATACCACAAGACATTGTCAAACAATGTAAAACCAGAAACACTATCTATAATACACCAGTATAAACCTGTATACACCTGTATATACCCATGTGCAACACCTATATAAACCTATATATACCCCTGTGTATACCTGTATAAACCTGTATAAACATGTGTTCTACGTGTACCGAAACAACGTTGATAACAAAAGAAGAGTCAGACAGTTTGGTGTCAGTCACAATCTCTTTATAGATTTTATCGTACACAGTGGAGCAACTACAAGCTCCAACCAACCCACAACAGCTGGCTGAAAACATCACAAAAAAAGTAAAAACAGTAAAATACAAATATTACAACGTGTAACTGAAGACTGAATTTCTCTGTAGACTGACCCTTTAATCACTATACAGCCGTCCTGACTTTATACATGAGTATAAAAACTCTCCTGTTTGGTCGCTCTGACAGGGAGCCATGATGTTAGCCATGTTAGCATGTCTTTAATAAAGCCCAGTTTAGAAGATGTGCGCTGGACATAAAAACATCTTTGAAAGATGTGTTCAAGTAATATTCAAGGAAAAAGTTGCATGAATGTTACTCGCTGCGTACAAACCTTTAAACAACACCTGCTGGTCAGGAGTGGTACTGCTAAAGCTGCAGTACCACTCCTGACCAGCCTGTGGCAGCACTGAGCACTCATCATTTTTTGGGGGATATTTTTGGCATTCTGTTTCCAAGTCAACAAACCGTTTAGGAGGTCCGACAGCGACGGTAAAGACCGATACTCCATGTCTGAGACACAGCAGCTGATAACGATGCATTCACTGACCTTCAGAATTTGAAAATATCATTCTTATGTTCTGCGCTCTCTACTGGACAAATGGAGTCACTGCAACTCCCAGTCCTAATCGAATAGATCAGTCAGGCTCCTGATGGTGTCTGACAGGAAGCAGTAATATGTGTGTGTGTGTGTGTGTGTGTGTGTGTGTGTGTGTGTGTGTGGGGGGGGGGGGTTACTTAATATATGTTTGTAATAGAATTTTAAATCCCAACCCAGAAGTTTTATTTACAGCAGCAGGTTTCTGTTCCTCCCGTTTAAAAATAAACTCTGATCAACATATGTACACAAAGGAAGATATAAATTTTAAGTGTGTGTGTGTGTGTGTGTTTAACACATGTATGATGGTGTATGTACAGATGGAGGAGAGGCAGGTAAAGGTGTGTGGTGGGGGGAGGGGCCTCAGTCCTTCTTGGGGGGGCAGGGCTCTCAGGTGGTTCACCCTAACCCTCAGGTGCGTCCTCGCCCTCCACCACTTGGTTGGTCTTTCCGAGCATCTTCATCTTGGCGAACAGCTCTCCCATCGTCTCCTTCACTCCTTTCTCCAGCAGCCAGCCGTCGCTCTCACACTCAGGGTTCTCCGGGTCCTCCATCGTCTCCAGAGCCGTGGTTAGGTACTTCAACCCGGCCATGTCCACCGACTGGGACACACAGAGACAGGGTCAGCATGTGGACCAGAACATATCAAATATATATATACATATGTACAGTATATATGCCTTCCAAGTTCAACAGGATTTCAACAGGATTCCCCAAAGCAGTCTAATCATAATAATAGAAATACAAGTTCAAATATCTTTGAATGAACTATATGATAACTTTTATTATAATAATATTGTTGTGCTTTCTTTACATCCGTGTGTTCTCAGTCTGTCATTTCAGAAGAACAAGTGTCATGAAACTGGTACAGAACGGGTTACATTTAGGATTCCAATCACATGACCTTATCCATTACATTTTATTATTATTTTATTATTTTTCTTATGTTAGTATGTTTGTATGTTAGTATTTAAGTATATAACTATTTAGTTCAGAAGACGACTTAGGGGCAACACAGCTGTGGATGTGAGGTTGATAATGTATTTGTTGTGTGGAGGCTGCTGATTGGTCACAAACTGAAGAGACTGAAACGGATCTGAGAGCAGCAGCATCAGTAAAGTTCCTCCCAACATGTGATTGTTGTTCTTAAATCGCCGTGACGCTTCAGGTCAAACCTGTTGTTTTGACCCACATAACTCTCTCAGGAATCGTCCTTCGTCCTGGTCTTCCCAGAATGCAACCTGTTGCTGATGCAGGCAGATTAACCCCCCCAGAATAGTTCCTGATCCTCTGTGAGCCTGACCACCAGCTTAACACACCGATACCTCAGCAAGTGAAAGATCTGATACCAGGTCAGATTGTCAGAGGACGTGAGGACCAAACCCTAACTCTGACCCTAACTAACCCAACCTAACCCCCTAACCCTTGACCCTCTGAACACTAGAGAGTTGAAGCAGGAAGGAGAACGAGGAGGAGAACGAGGAGGAGACGAAGAAGAACAAGGACAAGGAGAACAAGGAGAAGGAGAACAACAACAATAAGAACAAGGACAAGGCCAAGGAGAAAGTGAAGTAGAACAAGAAGAACAAGAACGATAAAAAGGACAAGGAGAAAAACAAAAACAAAAACAAGAAGAACAAGGACAAGGAGGACAAGAACAAGGAGAACAAGAACAAGGAGAGGGAGAACAGGAACAAGAACAATGAGAAGAACAATAACATGGAGAAGAAGGAGAATAACATGAACAAGAACAAGGAGAACAAGAATAAGAATATGAAAGAGAAGGAGAAGAACAAGAACCAAAACAAGGAGGAGAAGAACAAGGACAAGGAGACTCACACTTACAGTCACACTCACAGTCACAGTCACAGTCACACTGTGAAGAATTTCAGTATTAAAAGCATTGTTAGTATGATTAATAGCACCCCTAGTGGTGAATAAAAGTGTCAATATATAAATGTCAAAATATGGTAAAATGTCACAACATATTTACTTATGGAATGTATAATATGTTTACAGTATGTTTACCATAGAAGTGTTGAGCCATAAAAGACAATCAATGAATAAACTGAAGAATAGCCAAGGGACAGACAGGGATTTTGAGACAGGCATTGCAGAGACCACCAGGACCAGAGGAGGAGCCCGGACGACTTCAACCAAACACTTAGCTGATAACTGCCCGAAGCCAGGAGGGGCTATTGAATTTCGGCCAATCACAGAGGCTGATACTGGACATTTGAACTTTCGGACAAAGACTTTTAAATATAGGCTAGTTCCAGAGGGTTTTGGCTTCAGTTCGCGCAGTTACCACTCTCTGTAGTTGACCAGCTGGGCTGGCCTATTAGGTGGGCCGTGTGAAGACTCTGCCCACGGGACATATCGATATCGATAGAGTAATTCAGTTTGCAACTGTTCTAGCTACTCTTGTTTATTAAATACTTTTTGATTGTAAATCGGATCCAGTTCATTTTTGGTGTAACTTTGCTGCCGAAAGTTAGCAGCAGCGAAAGTCCAGCAGTCTGGTTCTCCCCTAATTAGGTCCAGCTTCAACAACACTCACACTTATAGTCACACTCACTAACACTCACAGTCAATCACACTCAGTCACAGTCATAGTAGTCAAAGTCACAGTCACACTTACAGTCACACTCACAGTCACACTCAGACTCACATTCACACTCACACTCACAGTAGTCAAAGTCACAGTCACACTCAGACTCACAGTCACAGTCACACTCACATTGGGGGCAGAGGGTTGTCAGGCAGAGTGGAAGCACCTGAGGCCATTCACAACACTGGCCCTGTGTGCCAGAGCACCCGCTATTAAAAACCCTCTGGATTCTCAGTGGGTCGCTCTCTCCTCCCTGAGACACCCATTTTGGTTTTGGTTGCGGTTGGTTTCTATACTATACAACACTGCATGTACACTTTACACGCACTCACTTACACTGCTGAAATGACTGAGTTCACATGTCACTGTTAGTTTATGTTTGTCTTTTATGTTACTTTAAACCTAATAAATAATTGTTAAACTGCTTCATTGAATGCGTCTCCCTTTTTTGTCATGGCCGTTCGGCCCGGTTTGTGACAAGTGGGGGCTCGTCCGTCCAAATTGATTGGCTCGAGGCTGATATTTGGTTCTGAATAGTAATGGTTTGGTCCAGCACACAATGTGTTTGGGGGATGCATTTTCTTTTGGCAGCTGAGGTTGGTCTTGCAGCCAGCGTGTGTTTACACGAGTTGGCTGGTGTGAACTAGCAGCAGTGAGTACATGGTCTTCTAGTGTGTTCGCTGACTTTTGTGGAGTATCCCTGGATAGGTGAAGCAACGTGGTCCGTGTGGCTGCGTTGTTTTTCGTTTTTTTTTGTTATTTTTGTGTGGTGTGCGGTCAGAGCAGTTGTCTCGGGGACACATCCATAGCTGTCAGGTGAGTAACCAGCTTGCTGGGGGCCTCACCGGGCTATTGGTTTAAGTGTTTAAAAAGCCTCCCGCTAATCTGCATGAAGACTAGGGTTCTGTGAGGTAGATGAGTTTGGGATAGGCAGTCTAGATAGAGGGAATTCCACATTAGTTTGGGGGACAAATCATTGTCTCTTTTAGTGTACTAGTTGACCTAGAAAACACTGTCTGGTTTTGTGGTGGCCTTTGACCTGGTCTACTATGGCAGGGGTAGAGGACTTTGTTGATGCTACATACGAGGAGGTTCCGGATCGTTGCTTTAGAGATCAGCTCTTCAAGATTGCAGAAGAGTATGATATTGATCTAAGTGGTGTTGGTGATAAACGGCTTAAGGGAAATGTAAAGGCTATGGTTAAAATGCAACACCGGCACTTTCAGTTCCATCAGGGAACCTTACCTTTGAGCAGCAAAAATAATTGCTTTTGTTACAGTTTTCTCATGAGAAGGAGAAACAAAGACTGGAAGTGGATAAACAAGTGGAAATTGAGCGGTTGCAGTACAAAATAGAACAGGAAAAGATAGCATTAGTCAGAGAGGGTAAGCTTTCTGGAGATGTTTTGCATGCGGGAAATGGTTCATCATCGCGTTCTCGCGATATTGTGAGTAATTTGCATCTCTTGCCTAAGTTTCACGAGAAGGATCCGGATGTGTTTTTCTCACTGTTTGAGTGGATTGCACAGGCAAGAAATTGGTCAGACTCTGAGCAAACCTTGCTGTTGCAGTGTGTGTTGTCAGGAAAAGCCCAGGAGACATATGCAGCTTTAGATAATGATCTAACTTATAAATCAGTCAAGAATGCTGTTCTGAAGGCATACGAGTTGGTCCCTGAAGCATATCGCCAGCGTTTTAGGAAAAAAGGTTCAACCAGTCTCATATGGAGTTTGCGAGGGAGCTGACGAATAATTTCAATCGTTGGTGTACATCTTCTGATGTTAGTGATTTTGAAAGTTTGGGCAATTTGGTCGTCTTGGAACAGTTTAAGAACTCTCTGCCCAGTCGTGTTGCCACATATCTTACGGAGCGTAAAGTTACAACTGCCACCCAGGCTGCTGGGTTGGCCGATGAGTATGTGCTCATTCATAAAAGCCGGCTCGGTGAGCCTGTGTGGGAGCCTGTATTGCAGAATGATGGAGGTGTTAAGTCCTCTGTTCGACATTAAGGTGCCTGTTAAGATTTTGAGGGATACGGGTGCTTTCAACTCCTATGTTCGAGACTCCATTTAGTCATTTTCAGATGAGACAGATACAGGGGATAAAATCCTGATGCAAGGAATGGGGTTGAGGGTGTTGCCTGTCCCGGTGCACATGCTGAATCTAGACTGTGGCTTGGTTCAGGGCAGAGTTCCTATTGGGGTGAGACCAGCGTTACCAGTGGAAGGGATTGACATAATTTTGGGCAACGACCTGGCTGGCAGTCGTGTGTGGGCAGATGTGCCTCCTCCTCCGATAGTCACTCCTTTTCCTTCAGCCTCAGAACAGCCTGATGAGAGTGCTGTAAACTTTCCCGAAGGTTTCCCTCCATGTGCAGTTACTCAGTCGATGAGTCGTGCGAATCAAACGAGGTAGATGGGGCGTGGACAAAAAAGTTGCTGTGTTTACCTGATTTTCTTTTTTTCTGTGTCTCATAGTGATCTTTGACAAATTTCACCTTGGGGATGAATAAAGCATATTTCAATTCTTCTATTCTATCTGCAGAATGAGCAGAGAGCAGATCCAGCCTTGGAGGAGTTGTTTGGATCAGTGCTGTCAGTTGGTGAGGTGAAACATGTTTCCAGGGGTTACCTTCTTCAGGATGGTATTTTGGTGAGGAAGTGGGTGCCCCATGGTGAGGATTTTATTGGGGATCCCATTTTTTGATGTCATTCCAGCTAAGCTTCGTGGTCATGTGTTGAGACTTGCTCATGATGGGTCAGGGCATTTGGGTGTCCGGAAAACCTATGACCAGATTTTTCGCCATTTATTCTGGCCACAAATGAAAAAGGATGTTTCTATGCATATTAAAACCTGTAGTACATGTCAGATGACTAGTATGCCAAATCGGGTCACTAAACCTGCTCCATTGGAGCCGATTCCAGCTATCAGTCAGCCGTTTGAGTACCTAATCATTGATTGTGTGGGGCTGCTGCCCCGTGCTAAGTCTGGTAGCCAGTATTTGCTAACTGTTATGTGTCAAAGCACCAGGTACCCGGCAGCGTATCCTTTGCGAACAATAACTGCAAAATTTGTGGTTAAGGCCCTGAGGCAATTCATAACTGTGTTTGGCATCCCTAGAGCAGTACAAAGTGACCAGGGATCACATTTTTCTTCTTACCTGATGGCCCAAGTGTTAAAACTGCTAGGTATCAGACATAACCAGTCGTCTGCTTATGACGCACAGAGTCAAGGTGCTTTGGAGCGGTTTCACCAAACACTTAAGTCTCTTTTGTGCTCATATTGCACTGAGCTAGAGGGGGACTGGGAAGATGGGCTACCATGGTTGCTGTTAGCTGCACGGGAGGTTGTACATGAAAGTACAGGGTTTAGCCCAAATGATCTAGTGTTTGGCCACACTGTCCGGGGTCCATTGTCTGTGTTTATGGATGGTTGGAAGGAGTCAGATCCGCCCAACAATTTTATTGAATATGTGAATGGGTATAGGTATTGACTTTATTCTGCAGTTTAGTGCCGGTGATCGAGTTTTGGCTATTTGTCCGTTGGCGAGGTTCACCCTTCCAGGCTAAGTTTTCTGGTCCGTTTACAGTGGTTAAACGCATCTCAGACAAGAATTATTTGATTTCAACTCGCAGGAAACCTATTAAATTGTTCTATGTTAACTTGCTTAAACCCTATTATGCTCACTCTTCTAGTGCACCTGGTGATGTCCAGCAGGAACCAATGGCATTGAGTCCTGTAGTTGGGGGCTCATACAGTTTCAGGACGATGCTGTTCTGGAGCCTGATGAGGGGTTGTTGTCTGGTCGACTGAAAAATTCAGGGACCCACATGAGGTTAAAAGGGTTGTTCGGCCATTTGCCAGAAGTACAGAACTTAAATATAACTGTTTATCTCCTGGTTTGTTTGTTTTGCTGTTGTGGTGTTCTTGTGGGACCCCCGTCTTATGGAGGGGGGGGGGTGCGACGACCCTCTCTTCCCTGTCTGCCTGTTCGTTTGGCTGCTCTCCTTGCAGGTGTTGGAGGTGGGTGTGGCAGAGGGTCGTCAGGCAGAGTGGAAACACCTGAGGCCATTCACAACACTAGCCCTGTGTGCCAGAGCACCCGGTATTAAAAACCCTCTGGATTCTCAGTGGGTTGCTCTCTCCTTCCTGAGACACACATTTGGTTTTGGTTGCGGTTGGTTTCTATACTATACAACACTGCACATACACTTTACACACACCCACTCACTTACACTGCTGAAATGACTGAGTTCACATGTCACTGTTAGTTTATGTTTGTCTTTTATGTTACTTTAAACCTAAAACATGATTGTTAAATTGCTTCATTGAATGCCTCTCCCTTTTTTGTCATGGCTGTTCGGCCTGGTTTGTGACACTTCATATTCAGAACACACATGAGAGTTATATGAGAAAACCTAAATGTTGGACTGCTTTTGAAGGCAACACTGTGGCTCAGTCCGGATGCTGATTGCCTGAAGCGGGTTATTGGCGGCTTACCTCCAGGATGATGGTGCCAATGATGAGCACTCCAATGCTGTTCATTATGCTGCTGAAGTAGTAGAAGAGGGCCTCTCGGCAGCCCCGGGTCCAGATGTTGAGCTCCTCAATGCGGTGGTCGTAGTCATAGTGGGCCGAGTTATTGGTCAAGTGATGCTGGATGCAGGGCCGGGGGGACCCGGGGTTACAGCAGCTGAACGGGACACTGTCCATCAGGTACTTCCCCTCCACGTTACTCAGGACTCGACTGCAGGACCAAGACAGTCATGGTTAACATTCACTGGACTGTACAGGTCAGAGGTCAGACACACTAAGTGGCTGGATGTCACAGTCATGGTTGAATAGATGGTTTACTGAGCCTGTCTACCATGGCCATCTGACCCCCCTCGGATCCACTCTGATATCATGAACATCGAAACATAACTTTATACCTGCAACCACAGACCTGTAGTTACATGTACATATCTCATATGCATTGATCAGTTCCTTTAAGGACCCCCTCGTCACACATTCCTTATATAACATCTTCTCACTGTGGATCTGACTGTTCTTCATCTTCTTCCATCATCTCAGTGTGGATCTGACTGTTCTTCATCTAACCATCATCATCTCACTGTGGATCTGACTGTTCTTCATCTAACCATCATTTTGTCACTGTGGATATGACTGTTCTTCATCTGACCATCATCATCTTCTCACTGTGGATATGACTGTTCTTCATCTAACCATCATCATCTCACTGTGGATATGACTGTTCTTCATCTAACCATCATCATCTTCTCACTGTGGATCTGACTGTTCTTCATCTAACAATCATCATCTTCTCACTGTGGATATGAATGTTATTCATCTGACTAGCATCTTGTCACTGTGGATACGACTGTTCTTCATCTAACCATCATCATCTTCTCACTGTGGATATGGCTGTTCTTCATCTAACCATCATCTCACTATGGATATGACTGTTCTTCATCTAACCATCATCATCGAGGATATGACTGTTCTTAATTTAACCATCAACTTGTCGCTGTGGATATGACTGTTCTTCATCTAACCATCATCATCTTACTGTGCATATGACTGTTCTTCATCTAACTATCATCTTGTTATTGTGGATCTGACTGTTCTTCATCTAACCATCATCATCTTCTCACTGAGGATATGACTGTTCTTAATCTAACCATCATCTTGTCACTGTGGATATGACTGTTCATCTGACTATCATCTTGTCACTGTGGATATGGCTGTTCTTCATCTAACCATCACCAACATCTCACTGTGGATATGACTGTTCTTCATCGAACCATCATCATCAGCTCACTGTGGATTTGACTGTTCTTCGTCTTCTTACATCATCTTCTCACTGTGGATTTGACTGTTCATCTAACAATCATCATTTTCTCACTGTGGATATGGCTGTTCTTCATCTAACCATCATCTCACTGTGGATACGACTGTTCTTCATCTAACCATCATCATCTCACTGTGGATATGACTGTTCTTCATCTAACCATCATAATCTAGTCACTGTGGATATGACTGTTCTTCATCTAACCATCATCATCTCACTGTGGATCTGACTGTTCTTCATCTAACCATCATCATCATCATCTCACTGTGGATATGACTGATCTTTATTTAGCCATCATCATCTTCTCACTATGGATATCACTGTTCCTCATCTAACTATCATCTTCTCACTGTGGATATGGCTGTTCTTAATCTAACCATCATCAACATCTCAGTGTGGATATGACTGTTCTTCGTCTAACCATCATCATCTCACTTTGGATCTAACCATCATCATCATCTCACTGTGGATCTGACTGTTTATCTAACCAACAACATCATCTCACTGTGGATATGACTGTTCTTCATCTAACCATCATAATCTAGTCACTGTGGATATGACTGTTCTTCATCTAACCATCATCATCTTCTCACTATGGATATTACTGTTCCTCATCTAACTATCATATTCTCACTGTGGATATGGCTGTTCTTCATCTAACCATCATCTCACTGTGGATACGACTGTTCTTCATCTAACCATCATCATCTCACTGTGGATATGACTGATCTTCATCTAACCATCATCATCTTCTCACTGTGGATCTGACTGTTCTTCATCTGACTATCATCATCATCTCAATGTGGATATGACTGTTCTTCGTCTAACCATCATTATCTCACTGTGGATCTGACTGTTCTTCATCTAACCATCATCATCATCTCACTGTGGATATGAATGTTCTTCATCTAGCTATCATCTTCTCACTGTGGCTATGACTGTTCTTCATCTGGCCATCATCATCTTCTCACTATGGATATGACTGTTCCTCATTTAACCATCATCTTCTCGCTGTGGATATGGCTGTTCTACATCTTACCATCATCAACATCTCACTGTGGATATGACTGTTCTTCATCTGACCATCATCATCTTCTCACTGTGGATATGGCTGTTCTTAATCTAACAATCATCAACATCTCACTGTGGATATGAATGTTCTTCATCGAACCATCATCATCTCACTGTGGATATGAATGTTCTTCATCTAACTATCAACATCTTCTCACTATGGATATGACTGTTCTTCATCTAACCATCATCATCATCTCACTGTGGATCTGACTGTTCTTCATCTAACCATCATCATCATCATCTCGCTGTGGATCTGACTGTTCGTCATCTAACCATCATCATCATCATCTCACTGTGGATATGAATATTCTTCATCTAACTGTCATCTTCTCACTGTGGATATGACTGTTCCTCATCTAGCCATCATCATCTTCTCACTATGGATATGACTGTTCCTCATCTAACTATCATCTTCTCACTGTGGATATGGCTGTTCTTAATCTAACCATCATCAACATCTCACTGTGGATATGACTGTTCTTCATCGAACCATCATCATCATCTCACTGTGGATTTGACTGTTCTTCGTCTAACCATTATCATCTTCTCACTATGGATATGACTGTTCGTCATCTAACCATCATCAACATCTCACTGTGGATCTGACTGTTCTTCGTCTTCTTCCATCATCATCTCTGTGGATATGAATGTTCTTCATCTAACTATCTTCTCACTTTATATATATCTGTTCTTCATCTTGCCATCATCATTTTCTCACCATGGATATGACTGTTCCTCATCTAACCATCATCATCTCACTGTGGATATGACTGTTCTTCATCTAACCATCATCATCTCACTGTGGATTTGACTGTTCTTCATCTAACTATCATCTTCTCACTGTGGATATGACTGTTCTTCATCTAGCCATCATCATCTTCTCACTATGGATATGACTGTTCCTCATCTTCTCACTATGGATATGACTGTTCCTCATCTTCTCACTATGGATATGACTGTTCCTCATCGAACTATCATCTTCTCACTGTGGATATGGCTGTTCTTAATCTAACCATCATCATCTTCTCACTGTGGATATGGCTGTTCTTAATCTAACCATCATCAACATCTCACTGTGGATATGAATGTTCTTCATCTAGCTATCATCTTCTCACTGTGGATATGACTGTTCATCTGGCCATCATCATCTTCTCACTATGGATATGAATGTTCCTCATTTAACCATCATCTCACTGTGGATATGACTGTTCTTCATCTAACCATCATCATCATCTCACTGTGGATCTGACTGTTCTTCATCTAACCATCATCATCTCACTGTGGATATGACTGTTCTTCATCTAACCACCATCATCATCATCTCACTGTGGATCTGGCTGTTCTTCATCGAACCATCATCATCTTCTCACTGTGGATATGAATGTTCTTTATCTAGCTATCATCTTCTCACTGTGGATCTGACTGTTCTTCATCTAACCATCATCATCTCACTGTGGATATGAATGTTTTTCATCTAGCTATCATCTTCTCACTGTGGATATGACTGTTCTTCATCTAACTATCATATTCTCACTGTGGATATGGCTGTTTTTCATCTAACCATCATCAACGTCTCACTGTGGATATGACTGTTCTTCATCTCACCATCATCATCATCTCACTATGGATATGACTGTTCTTCATCTAACCATCATCATCTCACTGTGGATATGGCTGTACTTCATCTAACCATCATCATCATCTCACTGTGGATCTGACTGTTCTTCATCTAACCATCATCATCTCACTGTGGATATGACTGTTCTTCGTCGAACGAACATCATCTCACTGTGGATATGACTGTTCTTCATCTAACCAACATCATCATCATCTCACTGTGGATCTGGCTGTTCTTCATCTAACCATCATCAACATCTCACTGTGGATCTGACTGTTCTTCATCTAACCATCATCATCTTCTCACTGTGGATCTGACTGTTCTTCATCTAACCATCATCATCTCACTGTGGATCTAACTGTTCTTTATCTAACATCATCTCACTGTGGATCTGACCATCATCATCATCTCACTGTGGATATAACTGTTCTTCATCTAACCATCATCATCTTCTCAATATGGATATGACTGTTCTTCATCTAACCATCATCATCATCTCACTGTGGATATGACTGTTCTTCATCTAACCATCAT